CCCATTGATTTACTTTTACTTTTTTCATTCGGATTGAGTACGAAGGTTGACTGGAGAGCCATCTCAAGTCGAGTTAGTGGGTTTTCTTCACTAAAGCCCCTAAATAAACTCTGGTGCACCAACTGTTGGAGCGTTGATCTGGCTGCAGTATACATGTAGCCTGAATGTCTCAGCTTCACCTTGTGTTTAACTGTATCATCAACATAGGTTGTTGGGCCATTCTCAACCTTGAATATGTGGTGTTAACAATACTGTAAGATAAAAGGAGGGATTAAAGTGTTTCAGATTAGTGTAATGAACCCTAAATCCAGAGTCTGTTAGTACTTAATAGAGTTGTGAATTTAAGCTCCGAGACTTGTCTTTTGAAAGTGTTGTGCAAGTTACCTTTGGGGATGACTGATAGCAGATACAGAGTGAAGGCTTTGTGAAGTGTTTGCCTACAAGTGCTAGGGTGTGTTAGTATTTTTCAGTGTGAGTTCATTCAAGAGCATAGTAATTATCATTTTTTCTGTGTGACAAAAGAAACACCCTATCACCTGTGAGTTAACACTTTTCACAAAGTCATATATAAAATGATCGCTCAGTCCTCAGCCTCACACATGCACAACACATTAAAAAGATGAGTTTAGGAGTTAACTTCATAAGTCTGTGAGGCACTAAAAATTATGGACTGAAAAGACACGGAATTTATGGTTTATTACCCCAATCTGTAACCCACTCATCACATCTCCTTTTTGTCCTATCACTTCATGGGTGTTAAGGAGTCACTCCACCCTACATGGTCCCTTTTTTTAGAATGTGCTAACTACCTATCCTAAACAGTCTGTTCCATCTTGGACTGAGCCCTGACACTGAGTTCCTTTTCTAGACCTGAAGAAGAGTTCTGTGTAGTTTGAAAGCTTGTGTGTCTCACCATCAAAAGTTGGTCCAATAAAAGATATCTCTCTCAAGTTTACCTTTGTTAATTAACTGTGCTTTTCTTTCTGATCACTTTTCAGGTCCATTAATTTGTCCGTCTTTTCAGTGATGAAACAGTGCTGGGAAGTATGGATAAAAATATTGGAGAACAGCTTAATAAAGCTTATGAAGCCTTTCGACAGGCATGCATGGACAGAGATCAAGCCAAGAAAGAACTGCAGCAAAAGGTATGTATTGTCTTTTGTTTTTTTTAAAGCTAGCTCTTTTGTTGAGACTCATGGTATATGTGGAGAGTTCAGTTTTGCTTTACTTCAGCCACTGAATTTTCAGTGCCTCTTGTTGAAGATAGAAAGTGCAATTTAATAAACCAAACTACTAAATCCAAGGGTTATGTCTACACTGCCCAGTCTTGTGCAATAACATATGCAAATGAGCTGCCATTTTTGTGAAAGGGGCTCTTGCGCAAGAAGGAGCAGTCTATACCGCTCCTTGTGCAAAAACCCCCCTCTGAAAATAGACTGAGCTTTTCTGCCTGAAAATAGACTGAAAGCCCCTTGCACAAAAATGGTGGATCATTAAGTATGCAAACGAGGCACGGTGATATTCATTGCCATGCCTCATTTGCATATGGTCTTGCGCAAGAGTAGGCAGTGTAGACATAGCCAAGGAGAATTGCACATTATGGTGTGAGAGAGAACTCCCAGTATGCGTATGTATCATCTGGCATGTCTTTATCTTCTATTCATTTCTAATTTTGAGGTGGTTTTAGATGTGGGAAAGGTCTCTGGAGATGAGGGACACTTGTATTTTTAAAGAGCTATCTTTGCTGTTGCCAAAGTGTCCATCCTTCATGGAAAATATTAAGCCTCATTTATCTTACTCTTATTTTACAAGAAATTGATAGGGAAACTTGAAGGTCTTTCAAACAGTTATTTACATTGTCACTTAGCTGACAATAATAACTAGTAAAACATCTTACGTGTTGTTAATAATAATTAGTTATATTGAGATAGTGACCAAAGTCCACAGCATGCTAGATGCTGTACAAGCACATAGAAATATACCGCCTCAGAGGGGTAGCTGTGTTAGTCTGTAACTTTAAAAACAAGGAGTAGTCCTGTGGCACCTTAGAGACTAACAAATATATATGAATAATATCATGAGCTTTTGTGGGCAAAACCCATTTCTTCAGATGAGTCTGGGTCTCAGAATTTATAACAGAAGAAGAAGAGAGAGGAGGGGGAAAATGTACCTGTCAATAGTAATGCCTGTGCTAATGAGGCTGAGTGGGCTGGCAGTGTCCTAGACTTAGCTTTCAATGTCAATGATGTGTAAAATGTAAGGAAGACTGGTTTTATAATGGGTCATTCAGTTAATGCCTTTGTTCAGGCCCAGGAAAACTGTGTCAAATTTTTCTTCTGTTATAAATTCTCATAGTCCCCCTTTTTTCTCAAACTAGTTGTGGCTTTTATAGAAATATACAGTTCCTTCAAGAATTTTCAATTAACTGAATATTAAAACAGCTTGTAATTTACAGCCTCAGACTATATAGTTATAGCCTTTTATCCAAAAATGAAGCACCGAAGAGGGAGATTCAAGGAAGATTCTGAACAGTTTATAGCACTTTAGGGTTTTTCCAGGTTTTTGGAATGATGCTAACAAGCATTTTTAGGGATATATTGTGACCATCATGTGGGGGGAGGGAGGGGGACACAAATGTTGTTGAGTTGCCTGGAACTGTTAGTCACACAGTCCAGTACTCTGCAAAAACAGCAGTTCATATTTTTGTGATACTGCTTAGCACATAGTGGTCTCTAGAGCATTTCACATCCTGCTCTTGAATGAGAGATTCCGTTTTTCCTCAGTTCACACACAATTAAATGGAGGTGCTATAGTGGGGGGGCCTGTCTAAAGGAACATGGGTCTATCTTGTCTCTGAACTGTAAGATACTTTAATAGAGTTGGGGATAGAATAAAGTGTGCTGTGTGGCACGCATTTCATTAAATCCAGTATACTATTCTCCTGCCCCCATCAAAAAAAGCACCCAGTACAGAATAGCCTGGTGATGGGGGCTCTTATTTGGATGTGGGAGACCCCAGTTCAAGTGCCTTTTCTGCCTGAGTCAAAGATCGGACACTTGATTCTGGGTCACCTACATCCTAGCTAAATTCTTTACCCATAAGCTGTTTGCTACTCTGGATTGAGTGGGTCTCTTTCTCTGTCAGAATTGAGAAGCTCCTAAACTCTAAACCTGTGATCTTTGAAATAATTGCTAAAATATCATTTTAATTTTGTCCTCCTTGTATACGTATGCTGCATTCAAAAGAAAAAAATACATATTTGTTGCATAACCTTTCTAAAGCTAGGTGGAATATTAGAACATAAGAAACAAATGGATGAGACTGGTGAGTATTTCTATGGTGATGGAAACAAATTTTTGGGGGGGTTATTATGCATTTTTATTCTGTTTATGGAAAATCTGCTTATTGCTTATCTTTAAAGTGTTCATAATAGTTTAAGTCTTTGCCCTAATCAACCTTCATCCATTTTTTTCTGACTGCAGAAAAGAACTATTATGGGCAGGTTGACTTCCCTTAGGAAATACTTATATAGACACTGCAGTTTTTACCAGATATGCAGTTTTTTGGATGACCTACATATATTCCTTGCTATAATGTTTCCTCATCCTTCCTCTATTCACTCCATGGCCTCAGCACTTTGTTGGCTTGTCCATCATTCTGTTGTTAACAGTTTACTAAAGTTACTGGTAGGCCACTTGTTTTGCCAGTCTCTAGAGTTGGGAGCCATGTCAAACACACAGAAGCCAGAGTCATCTTGGCCAGATGGTGTTTGATACAGATGGATAGTTGGTTGTCATGCAGATCTTCTAGTTGGTAACTTGTTGCTGCCATCTGACTCAAAGAATAATTTGTGCACACTGGCTGTCAAAAGCATCTTCTCTTCTGTCTGTTTTAGCTGTCATGTCTGTGCTCTGTACAGAAGTGTTGACAAGACATTGCTGTTGTACATTTTCAATTTAGTTTTCAGTGCTTTTTTTCTGTTTCCTGAGGTCTTTTATAGCTGCTGAAGTTTACTGCTCTATGATCACTTTTTTTTTAAAGTGTTGTTATAGTGCAACAATTATTTGGCCTTTTAGAGTAACCTGTAATCAGATTGTAGGTTTATTCTTGCGTGTTTTATGGATAAGTGCATCTTTTCAATAAAAAGTCTTAGGCTTATAATACTGGTACATTAACCATGAAGTAACTAAATACATTACTGTACAGAATAAGTGGGGGAAAGATGAGAGGCTGCTCTCAGTCAATGTATGTGTCATAATTTTAGAAAAATTCAAATAATCCACCTAAAACTTTCTTGTTGGAATTTCACAAATTTTTCACAACTTTACCACTATTATTAGTGTTGTACAATCAAGAATGGGCTAGTGGAATACTGTATATGTTTGAATATCTGTTATTCAGCTACCTGAGTAGTACCTGTTTGTTAATCAGTAAACTGGCTGACTAATACTCATAAATCCTAGAGTTAGCTCAGTGATCTGGGAGGTTCTGCCTGGCCTAACTGGGTATGTCAAGCTAGGGGAGGAGATGAAGAATTCAACATTGATCAGCTATTATTTTCCTTGCTATTTGGGCTTTCCCCCAATTCCTCTTCCAGAAGCCTTGGAAGGTAAAGGTAGCAAAGACATGCGGTTTGATATATTAAATATAGAGGTGTGCTTATTTTTGGTTAAACTGAAAACATGGGAAGTGGAACTATAATAGTATTTCAAATTAAGTTTTCAAAAATGAATCAATATATTTATTTACACATTGAGATTTACTTCCTGAAGAGTTAAATTGGTAGTGTCCTTATGTAGACCTAACAGATTAACTAATTGGCCTTGAGGAGGAGCAAATACACGAATCCCAATTTTAAAAAACAAACACTTTAATATGTGGTTATGAATGAAAATTATGTCTTGTAAATGTTATCCTGACATTTACTACCATCACTGTTAACCAAGATTTACAGCACTCTTGTTTCATCTGGTGTTTGTTACCTTTTTTCCCAATCAGTACAGACTTAAAATTAGACCAGTCACAGGTGACAACTGTTGAGTTTCTGTGCACAAACTGTAGCCACAGGCATCCTAGAAAGAAAGCTGATAAACTGTATCTGCTAAAACTGAAGCCCATAATCAAAACAAAATAGGACTAATGCTAATTAAATTAAATTATTGTGTTTTCAGACAGAAAACTATGTGCATCAAATACTTGAACAGCAGGAACAGATAGAGTTTCAAAAAAGTATTATTACAAAACTTAAATCACAGTTGGCTCCTATGAATGCTAACAGAGGTATGTACTCTAATTTATTGCTTTATATATCTTTCTTTTTATCCTGTATTGTACTGCAGAATATTTTTCACTTCTTTTTACAATGTGAATCCACAAAAGGACATTCAGAAGTACTGCTATAATTTTTGGAAATAAAACTATTTCTGTGTGAACAGAAAGAGTTAGCATACTTTCACATTTTCAAATTCTGATTGTAAAATGAAAAAAAAATTAAAAACATTTTCGTTTCTACTTAACGAAAAACTAGTGAGTTGGTTTTGTGTTTTGTTTTGTTAAATATAGAGCTAGTGCACATTGGATGAGTAAAGGCAGAGAAGTTACTGTTTGTAATAACAAATGATCTGTAAACAGGATGTGACTTATTTTTATGAATATTGATCACAATTGTTTGACTAATTCATATGAATGAGTTTTAGCTTCTAGTTTGTTCTAAAACTGAACAATAGGTGTCTGCTTCTTAATGCTGTGTGGTCAGCTAAGCTTCATGTCAATCTTTAACTTACTGGATGACTTAAGCTTTATAAACAAGAGTTTCTCTTTCTGGTCAAATTGTCAGTGAAAATTCTTTATTATTTGAATCAATTCTACACAAGATAAAAATGAACATTTCAAAATAGCCATTAGAACTCGTTCAGTAGAAGCACTCTTGTGAATATTTATTTATTCACACTAATCTAACGCTTTTCCTTTTCATCAACGACAGCAAAGCTGATTGCTTTATTTTCAAGAATGTGTTTATTGCTGAATTTGCCCATCTGTATGAGTATTTCGGGACAGAACTGGTTCTATGTTGGATTAATACTGGGTCCAGTAAAGGAAACTAAAATAAACTTAATATGCATCTATAATGATTACCTGACCCAGTGAAAATAAGAAATTCATAAAAAGCTTTTTTGTTTAAATTTCCCCACCCAACCCTATTAAATGCAGTGATGCTCAAAGAGCTATTTTTATTATACAGGTAGCACACATGGCCATGTTCTGGTGCCTGAAGATAGTGAAACCTGGAGAAATGATACCTCCCCTAATCTACCTTTTGATCAGCTCCATGATAAACTTAAACTAGCAATGCAAAGAGAGAAACTTCTAAAGGTACAGTACCATGAGTGTCTTTAACCTGGTTATTGTATTTATGCTTTGAGACTCTAAACAGATAAATGAACTTTCTGAGATGCCCAGAATGATGCCCTCCAACATAAGCTAGTAACAGTCAAGCTATGCTTATTTCCACAAGCCGAGGATAAGCCTCTGACTTCTCCCAACTTTGTTGCTGGTTAATAGCCTAGGAATAATGGCAATAATGTTGACTCAGAGAGAGAAAATGAGGGGGGAGGGTGCTGTCGGCTCACTTATTTCTTCACCTCACGTAAGTGACAGTCAAGAAGGAGCTCCCCCTTTCTGTCATGAGCATTTGCCACAATGCAGTCCTCACAGTGGGAATGGGAACTTGGAAAGTCTGTGCAAGTGATTGGGGTGAAAAGTTACTTGCTGCCTAAACTGGCTGGATCTATTCCTTTCCCTTCAGCCCACTGTTAGCTGAAGCCACATAACGGATTTCATCATAGACCTAGAGAGGATGGCAGGGATGAGAACAGAGTAGCAGTGTTCAGGAGACAGGACGTGATTTACATGAGACTCCCACACCCATAGCAGACCATGGCCACCATGCTGATCCTTTCCTTGAACTAGTCAGCCTCCTGAATCTTCTGGGGCTTGCACGTCCCGTATGGCCGAATTTCAGTCCGAGCATGACCCCCTAGTGTTGTCTTCATAAACCTCCAAATACCAGAAGCCAAGACTAAAAAAGGTAATTTGGGGATTTAATTGCTAAATCTGAGCTATGCACAAAATGATCCTGCATTTCTGTGAACTAAGCACAATTTAATCAGATGTGTTAATTTGAAAATCATTTTATCAGATTAGTGACAGTTGCTAATTATCTTGTAGGAATCTAATTTGAGACTTTAAAAAAATAACCATTTTCAGTTTATTGTTACTAAGGACATTTTAGAATGGAAGAAAGACACAATGTCATCCTCTTATGGTCCCACTTTTGAATTACCTCTTGAAACCCAATATAATGCCGTTGATAGTTTTTGTATTTAAATTAGGAAATAAGAGTAGAGTTTAGCTGAAGAGTTAACTCCTTATCAAAACATCTATGCAGGTCTTTATTTTTCTCTGAATTTAATTTCATAATTATTATTTGTATTCCAGTAGAGCTTAGAGGTCTCAGAGTAACTTGTATTGTACAAACAAATATTAAGACACAGGTCCTACTTTGAGGACCTGACAATTTATCTAAACTAGACAAAAGACTGGAAGGCAAATTATCCCAATGTTATCCATAATCTCTGTCTCTCAGATCCCTATGAGATGTGCTTGCACTGTCATGGGAAGTTTATGGCAGAGCTGGGAATGTAACTCTGATTTTCTACATTTTAGGCCTGTGCTGTAACCACAAGACTGTCTTTTTCTTTGAGGCATAAACTATCTGCACCTGCTTCTAGACTATTCAGATATCTCTCTGATACACAAAATGATGTACATGACTAAGAGATGTATCAGTTGTGAATTTAATCCCTTATTTAATGTGGTTCTTTTGTATATATTGAACAAAACTGATGCTCAAGTACTTTTGTTTACCACCTCCACCCAATTTAAATTGCTTCCTCTTGTTGTAAATACTGGCTTCAGTAGAAAAGTCAGTTCTTTAGCAGCCCAAGCATGGTAGTTAACTCCCTACAATCCTTTTTTTTTTTTTTAAAAATGCTCTCTCAATTTTCCCCCAAATTAGGTAAACTATATCTATATTCATTGTCCTCCACCACAGGAATTACTTTCTGCTACATTCCTAAAAAAAACTACCACACTCACTATATGTAAAAATTTAGTATGGGTAAATCTATACTGATGGTGACATACTAAAATATAGTGTGTGACCCCTAATTCTGTGTCTGGTTAGTGTTTAGAATATTCCCCGATTGTGTAGTTGTCTGAATCTTCCCTAGAACTTACTTTGTGTATTTAAGTTATCTTCACCTGTGTCCACTGGAATCTTTGTTGGCTTAATCCTGCACCCACTGAAGTTGGTGGGAATGTTGTCATTGGTGTTAATAGGTGTAGGATCAATCCCTAATGTCTAGCACTTCGAAATATTATTTGCTTAAATGTTCAGAGAGATAGTTGCACCATCCAGTGCTAGTCCTTTTCTCTGTTTCATCTGCATTCCATTGATACTGTAACCTGAACAATTTCCCAGATGAACATTCTCACACATTTTGATGAAGAGGGGTGACAGAGTAGAATCTTATACAACCCTACCTCAGAATGTCTTTGGGACATATGGGCATTGCTCAACGTTTCCCTCTGGATCTTCTTGCAGAGGAAAGATCACTCTCTTTCCAAAGCAACTCTGTCTTCTCTGCTGGACTCTGCAGTCATGTGAGCTACACCTCAGTGTCAGCCTTCTACCATCAAGTACTTGTATTTTTAGTTGAATAATCTAAAAGAATTATCATGGATAGGATCACCATACACCCGAAAGGAATTGACCAAAGAGACTAGTACAGTCTCTATACCATATCCAGGCTACAACCAGAATGAAGTAATGGAAATCTGTGAGACTTGCTTATGTCCAGAACTGCCTCACCACAGGAAAAGGAGGTTAAAGAGAGTGATGTCTGGCATAATTGTGAAGAACAGGAGATAGTAAAGAGTGATCAAAGGAACTGAGCCCTGGTTTATACTAGGGAGTTACTCAGCCCATTATTTTGAAGTATGTCAAAATTTGTATTCCTGCTTTCCTTGGACTAATGCTATTTCAAATTTATTTCAGGAGTTATTTCAATGTTATTTATTTTGAAATCACTTCCTAGTGTAGACATGCCCTGAGAGTGAGTGCTTTGTTAATGCTTTTCTTTAGGAGACCAAGGCATCAATATCCCATTCTGTTGCAAGAATGGTTTTGAGTATTTCCCAGCTACATTTTTATCAAATAGGAAGGATATCAGTTTTCAATTTTCTTGTCACAGTCCAAGCCTCTTTGGTACAGCCTTGACCTTTGCAGGAAAAAATACATGAAATACAAGCAAAGAAGACCTTGCATTCTCTCCCTTTGACACACAGCTCTCCCCACAAATGCAAAAAGTGCCATGTGAATCAGTGTAAGTTTACCTTTGAAGCGCGAATACTTGACCCCACAACCAAGACAAGACATCCAGATTTACCATGCTGTTCACATTCCTCCCAGAAATATTCCAGGATTTTAGATCAGTAGTGGGCAACCTGCAGCCCACAGGCCACATGTGGATCATTTGGAGTTCTGTGTGTGGTCTGCAAGACGTTTTGTTTACTACTGCACGGTTACCGGATTCTGGCCTCCGTCCGCATCGTTTTTATTACTACTGGTCTTATTAAAGTGACATGCACATAAAACAAGGCCCAAAGAAGTGAGGTGTGTGCTAGTTGCACACAACAGTAACTGTGAGAGCCATGCAGTCCCTCTGCATCCAGTAAGGTGCTCTCCAAGCACACCCCACAAATTCTAGGCACGCAAGGGCAGTTAGCAAAACTACCCTATCGCGGGAGACATTCTTGGTTACAACAATCTTGCAGTCCACTGAGATGGAGGGCCACTTATGCAGCCTGCTCACTAGCCTAGGTTGCCCATCACTGCTTTAGATTCTAAATCAGAGGTGAAGAAATGCTTCCTGCACCTCATGCACAGCCAAGACATTCGATCTCAAAAATGATATATGATGCAATAAGCGGTGAGGAGTCCTGTGGCACCTTATAGACTAACTGAAGTGTAGGAGCATAAGCTTTCGTGGGCAAAGACCCACTTCGTCTACATGCATCTGACGAAGTGGGTCTTTGCCCACGAAAGCTTATGCTCCTACACTTCAGTTAGTCTATAAGGTGCCACAGGACTCCTCACCGCTTATTGCATCATATATCATTTTTGAGATCGAATGTCTTGGCTGTGCATGAGGTGCAGGAAGCATTTCTTCACCTCTGATTTAGAATCTAAAGCAGTGATGGGCAACCTAGGCTAGTGAGCAGGCTGCATAAGTGGCCCTCCATCTCAGTGGACTGCAAGATTGTTGTAACCAAGAATGTCTCCCGCGATAGGGTAGTTTTGCTAACTGCCCTTGCGTGCCTAGAATTTGTGGGGTGTGCTTGGAGAGCACCTTACTGGATGCAGAGGGACTGCATGGCTCTCACAGTTACTGTTGTGATGAGGACCTTGCTGTATCTACCTGTCAGAGAGCTATAATCCTTCCTTTGTGCACCACTGGAGTGATGCAAAGTAGAATTAGCCAAGTGACCTGTGAAGCAGATGCTAGGGAGTGGGACACTTATGAGTAAACTTATCAATAATCAGAGAAAAGATGTTCCAATAAGAGTATTGAAAGAAAGCCAAACAGCATTTTTCTTTGGACTGTGCATTGCCATGACATCACACCAAGATATTTTTCTTTGGACCTGTCTGAAATCTTACCTATTCAATTACCTTCCAAGGACAAACCATTAAAATAGGTTCCCACACCTTGACAAGGACAGTATGTCATAATGGAGAGGTACTGGTCTATGTATGACAAGAGTGCCAGACAAGAGTCCCTGCTGCCAGTTCCAATGCAGAAGATCCAAAACATGGCCTCATATGTTAATTGAGCCAGACACCATCTAGACAGTCCCATAACTGTCCTGGGATCATGGCCACGTTGATGTTGAAGCAACCCAGACCCAATCAATCTCGGTGACTTTAATTCTTAGAGATTGAATTTTTGCTGTTACGGGGTCTCTCGGGATACATCTACACAGCAGGGCTAAAGTTGAATTAAGTTATGCAACTTCAGCTATGTCAATTGCATAGCTTTAGTCAAAATAGCTTAACTCGGATTTGGTGCTGCCTACAGTGCAGGAAGTTGAAGCAAGGACACTCTTCCTTCAACTTCCCTTATTCCTCATGAAATGAGGATTAAAGGAATTGGAGTAAGAAGTACTCCAGCTCTGTTATTTTGAAATAAAGGCTTGTTGTGTAGAATAATGTCAGTTATTCCAAAATAACATTGCTGTGTAGATCTTCCCTCAGGTAGGGGAAAGGCAATGTAATGACTTGGATGGATAGCTAATTAACCCAAAACATATCTTGGTGTGATGTCATGGCAATGCACAGTGAAGCTGACTTTCATCAACATGTGATGAAATGGCTTTTTCAAAACAACATCATGTTCATCTTAGCATTGGCTACGTCTACACTGGCCACAATTTCCGGAAAAGCCATGCAAATCAGGTTAGTCAGGATAGGGAAATCCTCGGGGGATTTAAATATCCCCCGCCGATTTAAATAAACATGTCCGCCGCTTTTTTTCCGGCCTGGGGCAAAGCCGGAAAAAAAGCGTCTAGTCTGGCGCGATCCTCCGGAATAAAGCCCTTTTCCGGAGGATCTCTTATTCCTTTGAAGTAGGAATAAGAGATCCTCTGGAAAAGGGCTTTATTCCGGAGGATCGCGCCAGTCTAGATGCTTTTTTTCTGGCTTTTCCCCAAGCTGGAAAAAAAGCGGCGGACATGTTTATTTAAATCCGCAGGGATATTTAAATCCCCCGCGGATTTCCCTATCCTGACTTACCTGATTTGCATGGCTTTTCCGGAAATTGTGGCCAGTGTAGACGTAGCCGTGATGAAATGGCTTTTTCAAAACAACGTCATGTTCATCTTAGCACACAGACAGGTTGTTGTGTTGATCCATGGTGACTTCCCACTGACAGTTTCTCTTCTCTTTGCCTTCCATATACCCCATTGCTTTTGTTCCCCCACCAGAGGAAGAGCAAAGCAATTCCCACACACAGCTTATAGTGTTGACTTGTGTTTCAGGGAGCACACTTGTAATCTGTGTTCCTCTTGCTTTGCCTGACTTTTGGCCAGAGCACAAAGAGCTATGATCTAAGTGATATTGCATATTTGCTTGTTTCTAATGTACTTGATTCTTTTCATACTTAACCCTGCTTAGCAATTGTTAACATTTTTATTCTTAACGTTACTGTGTAATGTTTTTCAGACCTCCTCATGCTTTATAACCTTTACTCTTACAGCCCTTTCCTCACTCTAAGTACTTCAACCTTATCCAACTCCTGGTTCCACCATAACTTCCTTCAACTTCAGCACATTCAGAACTGGTAAGAATACCCTAATCCAAAAAAACCACCATCCCCACCATCTTGCGTTCACCCGAATAGTCAGGAACCATGTGTTTTAAACTTCAGGCACATTAGTATTTCTTCCAGCTCACATCAAATATTGCCTTGACTACAGAAACTTTTAATGCCTTCTACTCCCCTCATTTCTGTTATTATATCCTATGCACTCCCTAAGTCCCTCCTAGTCGATCTCAAATTTAGCTGTCATTTTGAACAGTCTCATCCCTCTCTGGAAATTGGGAACATAGAATACTAGGACTGGAAGGGACCTCGAGAGGTCATCGAGTCCAGTCCCCTGCCCCCATGGCAGAACCAAATACTGTCTAGACCACACTGACATGTGACCTTTAGTCTAAAATCTTCAAAGACTTCCTATCCATTTCAGAACGGAGTACAAAAAAAATCTCTTCCTTTGAAATCTTCATGTCCCCTCAATGCTAATCCTTCTTTTGCTGCATCTTTTCTCTTCATCCCACTCCTTGGATTCCTTCAGTACTAGATTTCATTTTTACTCCCTATAATGGGATATATAGGTTCCAACCTGGACAAGGGCAAAAAAGGATTAACAGTCTGTCCTGGAAACGGAATGAAATCTGTCCCACAGAATCTTCCAGAAGCATCAAACCTGAAAGAAATATCCTCCAGCTGTAGGAAATAACAGCAGCATATACAGGTGAAGGAGGATGGCTATAAAAATGGCTTGTCCTGCAAATTGAGTGTGTCCGGGAACTGGGTTTGCTAGAACTTGAGCCAGTGAGATGAGGGATTTCCTGGGGTGGAGACTGTCCATTTTAAAGACTGTTCTGACCATTCAGTGAGTGAAGGAAGCTCACTGTGGCTCAAGGAAAGGGAAAACCTACTATGGACTAGGTAATCTTTGGGGAGAGGGTTATACTGATCCTGACTCTTGGTTAAGTGCTTTAAATTATTAAATTGAAACCTGTCGTCTTTAACTTCATCCCAGAGGATGTCCATATTTTGACTCCTACAGCAGTCTCTTAGGGGCTCTGCTGTTGGATTAGCTGAACACAATCCCTTCCTTTTATCACCACACCTGGAGCTGGATAGGCCCTGCTCAGTAATCTCAAAATACATCTTCTCGCTCTTGCAAAGGACTCAAATAAACCAAAAGCTTGTCTTTGAGCCCTTCGGCTTTCTTGTGTTCAGTTCTCACTCTGCCTCCATCCCATCTACACATTGTCATTATAGTACATAATATTTGCATGTACTGGCTTCACAAACATTGATTGTGAATAGTGTATACCTTGAGCCTAACTCTCCACTCAGATATTAAAGTTTTATCCAGTTGGAGCCACATGCCTGGCTTAATGTGGCTCATCTCTTGATCTTTCTTTCTTTGTCTTCCCACTAACCTTGTCTTTAAACCAATTATTTTTCCAGATGACATGACTTGCATTTTGGTACATTATTCATCTTGACATTGTATGTAACTTTTCTAGCCTCGGGTCAAAGTCAGTGTTTCTACTTAACCATTTTGATCAGTTACATCAATACACTTGTAAACAAATATTTAATTTTTACTAAGTCTCAGGAATGAAACAGTTTCCTTACTCTGTTATTTGGGTGACTTGGAAACCAATTCGAAATTTCCTTTCGAAAAAGACTTGTCCTAATTTCAAAATTATAAGAGCAGGATATTTCTGGTATATTTGGTTACTCTGGACAAATATAGTAAAACTAATTTCAGCCAAGTGAAGGTCTGTCTCCTAATTGCATTGTGGCATTTTACAAATATAGTTCAGTCCTCTATATTCAAATAGTTCTCTTTCTATAATTTGCCTTTTCTTCTCATTGATTATCATAGAGCTTCCTGAATCTCTCCAAAATAACTGCCAAAATTCACTCTTATATAAATACATTTGAGAAGGGGGAATATGTAGCTGGCTAACAGTCACTACTGCTTCTACTGTCCTCCTCAAACTTGCTAGGAATCTCATGCTTCTATTAGTATAGAAACTTCGGATAGAGACATTTACACAGCTTTCAAGGGAAGACAGCTTGTTAGCTGTTTTAACTGCATCTCTGTGCCTTTAGCCATATATTCTTTTACTGAGAAATAATCCAAGAATTGCCTCTTCATATACATAACAACTAAATTTTATTTTAGTGACCTGCTAGAGTTTTTTCCTCCCACATGCAGTTTCTTCATGTGCATATACATTTCTACAAAATTCTGATTTTAATATTTAGGGTAGGGATTATACTTAAAATGTCTTAATTGCTTATCATTTCAGCATTGCATGCAGCTTGGGTCTTTGGAAATCTAAATCACCTAAGTGATAAAGAGCTACATATCTAACTGCTTCAGAAATTAACTCTGAAGACTTTGTCACCTTCTTGAAAATTGCTGTAACTTGATTCTAGCATGCTATGAACCTAATTAAATGTTACTGCACACAGTGTATATAAATGAAGTAAGACAATGTCTTCCACTGTTTTAAAGCATTAATGTGAACGTCTGCTGGCTTGGTTTTTATAAACTCAAAACAACACATGATTGTTTTGAGTAATTGTCCATGATCAGACATATCTGCATATAACACTAAATGGTATTTAATTATTTCACGCAAACTGACATTAGTGAGTAGATAAGACTCATTTCGTTTAGGTTGCCAAGACTTAATATAGTCTATCCCAGGCTGTTGCATAATGATCATCTTCCTATTCTGGAAATATTAACCAATTGTGCTATTTTTTAGGAACAATTGGAAATAGAGAGCAATAAATTGAAGCAAACTGAGGAAAAAAACACTCTAAAGGAAAAGAAACTTGAATCTATTATTGCCAGTCAAGAAGAAGAAATAAGACTTCTAAAAAACAGATTAAAAGAAAAAAGTGAAGCACAGGATTGCATACATATGCCAATATATGAAATGGAGGTAAGTAAATAAAATGATACCACACCTTTGCACATAATTATACTTATTTTAGATTTTGTTTATACAAATTATTCTAGTTAACAGATTTTTAGATTACAACTGTAAATTTAAGAAAATTATTAAATATATATAGTAGCACTAGCTGTCATGTTACTTCAATTAAACCATAATATACTTGAATCTTATTTTGTGCATCTTAACTGTTCATCTTATTTTTATTTGATTTGATTATAAAATTAAATGTGATATTGGAGGGGAAATTACATAGTTTATTGTAGCTGCTCTTTGCATTTCAGATTGAATCAGTCTTCCATTTTTATATTCCACTCTTTTGGTCAGATAAATAAAACATCCTATCAAGAAAAACATCCAGGGTAAAGCATTGGTTTTCAACCTTTGATCCATGGACCTCAGCTGAATTACAGCCTATGCCTAAGATTTCCAAAGGGATCCATACCTCCATTTGACATTTTTTAAGGGTCTGCAAATGAAAAAAAAGGTTGAAAAGCACTGTTAGCCTACATTTAATGAACAATTTGCAGCCCATGTAATACTGATATAATCCACAAGGTGGTAGTCAAAGGTAACAACTTGTTTAAAAGCATGCTAGAATATGTTAATCTGCTTGTTGAAAATAGAGACTGAATTGATTTTTTTTAACCAAAATATATCAGTTCCTTTAAAATGAGCCTATAATATGATACATAATTAAAACAGGATTATAACATTAATCTGTGCATTAGCTTCTCTATCTCTAAAGAGAAGGATAATGCTTATCCATGTATTAAAGTCCTGTGAGTGTCTCAAATGAGAGCTTCCATATAAGGGCAAAATAGTGAAATTATCAAATTTGTTCTAGAAGGGATTTTAAATCAAAGAATGAAGCATGAGATTTCTTATGCATTTGGTTTTCTAAATGGCTTCTTGGGCTACAAGCAAAATTGGTTGATTCTGCTGATGTTGAAGAATGTTGAGACATTTGTTAATCTACCTTTGTATTAAGTCCACATGAATGTACGAATTAGCACACCAAAACAAGCTCCCTAATTCCATGTTTTACTTTAAGATAAAACCTACGAAGGTTGTTCCAGCTAGACAGGATTTATCTCCAGCGATCCCTGGTATTTTAACTGTGCATGAAAGGTAAATAATTTTGCAGCATTTTTATAAACAATTTTGAAGGTTCACAATTGCTAAAGAGGAGTAAGGCCAGCTGCTTCCCTCCCTTTTCACCATACAGAAAGAACAGAAAAAGGCCAAGAAGCCAGCACAGGGAGGGGAGCAGAGCCAGTGCAGCATGTGGAAGCATAGCTGGTATTCTATGGGTATATCGGAAGGGCACATTTGATGCAGATGGGGTATAAGCTACATGGGAAATGGCTATGGATGTTAATGCTGGTTATTATATCAGCCTTGACTCCTTTTGTGGGGAATGTACAGCCATGCTGGAATAACTAGTAGTAGCACAGGATAGAAGCAGCGCTGCTAGGAGAAAGCTCAACAGATTGTACAATGGACTAATCCTTCAACTTTATGATTCCAAATGAATCTGAATGCTTTGGTCCAGGTTTAGCTGTGGCGCATCAGCCCACAACACCATGGAGGCCTTACAATCCCTATATGTTCAAGAGAAGGGCATTGGAGAGGAATATGACACTGTATTTAATGAGCAAGTACTGTATTGCTCTTCTGCATGTCTTATGGTGAAGGGGGTTGACCACAGAGCCTTAGTTAATAACAGTCTCCTGTAAAAAGTACAGATCTAAGCCAGGTTTTTACCAACCTTTACTGAATGATTATGTAGATGGAGATCCCTAATAGTGTCATATGGGATGAAAAAATAGGATTGTGGATTTGTTTTTTGGGTGTGTTTTTGCTACTCTATTTTTTTTCTAAAGATGATTTGAAGTGTCTTTTTAAAAGCTATCCTTCCTTCCACACTTTTTTTATATTACAATTTAATTGTATGCGAAGTTCTTCTTGGAAAGCTGTGTGACTGGAGAACTAGCAGGATTATGATACAGCATCAGAGATGCTAAACAAGTGAAATGTGATTTAAAAAAATATCAATTGTATTAGACTATTAAAATTTGAGTGGAGTTTTGGTGTGTTTAACGACTAATGAACTGAAACCCCCGAGAAACAGTTGTAACACAAGTTAAAACTACTCTCACCAGCTAACCTCGTTCTTCTGAGTGAGTTCCTAATCCGCATCTCTGGATCCTCCAAAGGAGATCTGTAGCAAAATGAGACAAGCAGCACTTAATAGTCCAAACTCTTATAAAGTGAATAAACATACAGAAAGAAAAACCTTTTTATAAAAGCAAAAACAAAACCCTATGGCAACATAAGGCATGAGCCCTGTGTGTCAGTCTTGCCCCAGCTCCCATATCTTCAGATCGCTATTAACTAAACATCCTTTTTGAAAGATCTAAGAATTTGTACTTAATGAGTCTGTGGTCTAATGTGCTTCAACTTAAGTATTTCCTATGCATAAATAAGCAGAATAATGTAATATCATATTTTTCAAGAAGCCAAAAGTGCACTTATTCCCCATTTTAGTGTGATTTACTAAGTATTTGACAGTCATTTAGGAACCTGTGAAAGCTCCCGAGGGAAACAAAGCAAGAGGAAAAAAAGCTAGGATATAGGTTCTGCAGAAGGGAATGGTAACTATTTGAGCAGTTCTCCAGCTATCTGCAAAAATATCACATAGGCAAGCAGAGGAGGGAGCCAGGTGACAGCTGCTTTTGCATATCCTATTTCTTTTCCTGCATGGACTAACGTCCACAGAAAAAATAGGAATCCATGTTCACAACAGAATTAGCTAATTTCTGTGGACTGGCCCTATGTGAGCACAGAAATGCTATAATTGTCAAGGAAGTGTTGTACCTACCAATGGCTGGAGGGAACTCAGTGGAACTTGAAATGTCTCTGGCTCAGGTTTCCTTTGAATTCCTGGTCTGTAAAGGTGTATTGCTCCATTACATCATTTTCATGCTGGAGGCCTGTGTGTATGATTTATGACAAAACAGTTACATGTTTTATTGTGTTCAACTACTTTCTTCCCTTCCATTTTCGTTTGCAAATGAGAGTGTGTGCATGTGTGCGTGGCATGCACAAGCATGCAAATTAAGGAGAAGAGAATCAGAGAAATTTAGCTGGTAATACTATTTTCTGGTATCCAGTTGTGGAGTATTATTTTTCTTTTAATTCAAGGTCATGAAAGAACTGAATTCACTGACACTTTGATTTAAAATATTGAACTTTTAGGGAAGATCTAGAGATGGTTTTCCAGGACATGAAGGAAGAATGTCATCGAATATGCACATTAGCAAGAAAGCAAACAGACCAACTCAGTAAACTTAACATAAAGAGAGAACCTGTAAATGGTAACATCTTACTTTAGCTCTTATTGTGATTCAAGTGTTTGAAAGCTTTGCTTTATATTTGAAAATACTGTAAATTACACATACATTGAAAGTACTTCTACTGTTTACCATCTGCTTCTTTCAAGTCTGCTCATATGATGCTCTGCAGTTCACTAAGAAAATGCACCGTGGATTTTGGAATTGTATGAGGAACATTCTAAATGACATGGGTGAGAGACAGTCATTGTGTAACTGATTTTTCAGGTTCTTTTTTGTCCCTTGAAGTAGACTGTTGGCTCTCACTCAATCTGATGCCCCAGCATGTTTTGAGTAATGGAATTTTTTAAATTTTTTATTTAGCTGTTTATAAAAATGCCCATTATGAATATTTCCAGACTCTCAGTTGTTACAAAAGACTGCTGGATCACAGCGCTCGTACGTGAAGAGATAGAGGACTTTAAGACAAAGTGCCTTGTGCATCCTCGAAACACTTTTTAAAAATTAATAGAGATTAAAGGTGCTACTTACACTGAAGTGAGTGGCAAAACTGTCCGAAGCAAGATTTAGAGAAGATATTAAGAACCTGATCCTGCTAACACTTGACGTAGTACAAACTACTGGTAGTTTACTTAGCTAGATCAGGACTTGATCTGGCTTTATAGACTACTTTTCAATCCTTGCAACCTTTCCCTCCTCCCCCCCCCAAAAAAAGTATTTAGTTTACCCTTCTAACTCCCTGGTTCTCTCCTGATGTCTCTAGTACGTATTAGCAAACTACATGTTACAACTCACATGAAATAAGAGCTAATGGCCCCTAACTTAGGGTGTGTCTAGACTACCTAGTTTTGTCGACAAAAGTGGACTTTTGTCGACAAAACTATACCAGCGTCTACACTACCGCTGAGTTCTGTCGACATAACGTCAACAGAACTCAGCAGTTTTGTCGACGCTGGTATACCTCATTTTACGAGACATAACACCTTCTGTCGACAGAACTGTCGACAGAAGGTGTTATTGCCTGTAACATTGCGTCCAGACTACGGAGTTCTGTCGACAAAGCAGCTTGCTTTGTCGACAGAACTCAGTGTGTCTGGACGCTCTTTGTCGACGGAAGTTTTGTCGACAGTATCTGTCGACAAAACTTCTGTCGACAAAACGCAGTAGTCTAGACGTACCCATAGTGATTTTAAAAAAGGAAAAAAAGGGTAGATAAAAGATAATCTTTTATGTGCCAAAAGTGTCCTTTTATCTCTGTGATTTGTGGCACTTGGCAAATTATTCCAAAGCTGATGGTTTTTGTCTTTTCTTGAGGCAAGTTCTGGTTGGACCTCCTGGTCCAGCACCCTCAGAATCTGAGGGGTCCTGAAGGAGGGAATTTGTTGGACATGGGGAGATCAGGCCTTAGGTTGTCCTGGGGCTCCCTTTCTGGCCGCCAGCCCGGTCATGCCCTGCCTCTGGCTGGCAGAGCTCCACTCCTGGGTGCCAGGGCTCTCTGCTCCTGGCCAGCAGCAGCTCTGCACTCCTGGATGCAAGGGCTCACCTCCTAGCTGCTGGGGCTCCCTGCTCCCGGCCAGCAGCAGCTTTGGGGCAAGTGGGGCTCACTTCCTGGCTAGCAGAACTCCAGCTGCTGGTCAGGCTCCCTGCCATCAGGCCACGGCCCCAGAAGGCTTCCTGCTGCCAGACTGGCTGAACTCTCAGCCACAGGCAAACACTGTGGCTTGGATTCTCTGGTCCAGCAATATCTGTGATCCTGCCAGACCAGAGTGTCCTGGACCAGAGAGCTTCAACCTGTCCAATGAAGTTTTGACCAGTACTTGTGGTATATATTTGTTGTTAACCTGGCTTTCAGTTCTAATAAGGGGTACATTGGATTCCCTTTAAACTTGCATTCCCTGGCTATGGTTTAAAGGGTAACCATGAAATTTGTTATAATTTCCCATAAATAACAAATAAAAAAAAGAAAAAATTAATGGTACCTGATTTTTGGCTGTGTGCTCAGCTGAAATGAATTTGTACAACTGCCTTCTTAGTTCAGCTACATCTAGGTTTCAAATGCTGAAAAGAAAATACTGAAAGTCTAAAATTATGCTTCTAAGCCTATACTTTAATAAGGGATTTGATACTCCAAAGTTCTGTTAAGCTGCTTCCAGTTAATTGATGCCTGTAAAATTGATTTCTGTGGGCTTTTTGACACTACATTATTATTTTGTGGTGTTTGTTATATGCAAACAACACTGTCCTTTTTTTGCATGAAAAAATTCACTGCCTCATTAGGAAGGGACACGGTGGGTGAGGTAATGTCTTTCCCACCAATAAATGGTAAGCTCTTGAGCCACATATAACACTTCCCGAGACCTGGAGAAGAGCTCTGGGTAGCTAAAAAGCAGAAGTGGGCCCAGTAAAAAGATATTGCTACATCAACCTTGTTTGTCTCATATCATGAGAGCAACATGACTACAACTGGCAGAGAAGGGGCAAATTCTCCGAATCATGAGACCGAAGTGATTTCAAGAGGACTTTGCAAACATAAAAATGTACAGTGACACTATTCCCCAACTTGATTATAAGTAATATGTAGATTATTAGTTTAATTCCCAAAATGCATTGAGAGTACTCAAACACAGAAGAAAACAATCCCACCCTAAAGATCTATGCACTTCAAATATTTTGGGACTACAGTGCATAGCATATGGTGGCACTCCATAAAACTCCTGAGTTGCAGCTTCTTTTTCTTCAAAAAAAACTTTAAAACTTGTACATATGTTGGTATTAAGAATATGGGGCAATATGAGTTTTAACTAGTGATAGTAGAGTGTAACCAACTAACTGTTTAGCTGATAAGCTGATACTTATCAGTTATTGGTGTTGGTTAAATTCAGCTGGCTCCCGGGGAGGCAGCTGGGCTCTGGCAGGGCAGCCAAAGCCTCTTCACCAGGAGCCAGGCCAGCAGAGGTCCCCGCTCCACTCTTGGGGAGAAGCCTTTACTGCAGCAAGGAAGCTACAGTCCCCGGGAGCCAACCCAGCAGGGGCTGGTGGCTCCATTCCCAGGGAGGTTTCACTGCAGGCTCTGCAGTATAAAGCTTAGCAGCATGTAATAGGTGAGATTCAGTGGTTACACGGTTACCAATTAAACTGACTTTTAACAGCCCTAGTTTTAACCAAATCCAAGAGGGTTAAAATCGCTTAAATAAATTAATCTGGATCCGTTATTTCATGTTTTTGTGGGTTGGGGGGAGGGATTTGATTTTGGTTTTTGGTTTTGTTTTTTGCACTGAGACACCAGGCTCAAATTACTGGCTTCAGGAAAATATTCTATCAAATCATGAAAGAGGATCAAGAAAAATAACTGATCTACATGTTTGATCTTTAACAATTGCTTTGAACTGTTATTTCCATAGATGGTGTCTGACCATTTCCTTTTTCTCCCCTTTACAGAAATTCAGTGTTCCATGCCTATTCAGTGTACTGATAAAACTGATGAACAAACAGAAGAACTTTATACGCCTCAGGTTAAAACAGATATAAATAGAAGTGTATCATGCATAACATCTATCACACCAAGAGGAGTGGGCCAAGATGAGGAAGACAACTCTGTAGAATCACTTTCTAAATTTAATGTCAAGTTTCCACCTACACACATGGACTCTACTTTCTTGCAGAGCACTCCCGAAAAACCAACAGTTCCTTGTACTTCTATAGCTCAAAATATGCTTCAAGAGCATCATTTTAACATGGAGAATGAAGTCCACACTATGAATCTGAATAAATTGGAATGTGAGGCATTTGAAGCTCATGGAGTTGACCACATAACCACAGCTATGCAAAACCTACCTGCACTTGACAAAACAAAACCCCCAAGCCAGACAAGCATGCTCAAACAAAATACTCAGGACAAAACATCATGTTTGAAAACAGCAGACAGTGGTACCAAACTTGTACATAAGTTCACAAATCAAGATGCCACTGAAGTAAATTTTCCCTCTTCAGAGGCCACTGGAAGACCTGTCAGAGGACCTCAGCAGGTATCTTTATATTGATACTGTATATTTTAAATATTAATATTTCCTTTGAACAAATTAAGCCTTCGTATGAATCATACCATTTTTGTGAATATTTGATTTTATGTAATGTTTTCTGACACTGAATTTGTGTACATTAACTTCATTTTCAGTGAAATAATAGTGATTTAAATTACATTTAAGAATATAGTTGGGTGCATAAATTTCACTTCATGAAGATTTTAACTGTTTTTGTATTCATTGTAAAACTAATTTTAATCACAACTATTCAAAAACTCTCTTTAGCCAAATATTATTCCATAGAATCGAACATAATATGCATCACTAAACTTTTTAAAATGTACATGTGGACATGTGCTGCTTTAAAAAATACCAGGTAGTTCAGTGTACTTCCTTCTGAAAAAAAATCTATTTTTAGATCTAAAGAGGCACAAACATAGAACAACTTAAAAGGGATAAAATATCCCTTAAAAGGGATATTTTAGAAGTTCTTGTAGAATAGGAAAATATATATTTCCACACACAATCATAAATGGACACCCAAAAAATGCAAGTAATTGTGCATCTACTTTTTAAGGAAACATTTTAGATGTGATTTTTAGAGGTGTGAACATCCAGAACTTTAGCTGAAGTTAGTGTGAGCTGTAGATGCTCATCATCTCTGAAAATGTAAGGCCATCTGGCCAAATTCAGCAAAACAATTATGTAGGAAAATCCCACTGAGTGTTCTTTTGAATCTCAACCTTTGAGTGACATCCTGGACCCATTAAAGTCAATGATATAACTTCCACTGACTTCAATAAGATCAGGATTTCACTTTTTGACCTTCTTTCTCATGAGTGGGAAGATTATTCAAAGCTAGAGCAAGTACTGATATTTAGAATTTTTGCATTTTCTTCCTTACTCTTCCAGTTACTCATTTTGACCTTTGGGCAAATTGCCTTAACCTCTCTGTGCTTCAACTTTGCCTTTAACCTAACAAAAAGAGGAGCTATGATGCATAAATAATATTTACCTTACATCTGAGACACTCTAGAGCTAGAGATGTATTATTATTAAAGCCGGCCGAGTCTAGTTTTACAGTCAACCTTAGTCTTTAATTTTCTGAAAAATGTTGGCAGAGAATTCTAGATACTTGCAGTGCTGCTGCTTTACATAATTTTATTTTTTAAAATTACCATATATTGTTCAAAATACATGAGTGGTGATTATATTTAAGATGGATTGCTTTTGTAGATTTTGTTTTACCCTGAATTATTAATTACATACTCCTTTTATTGTACTTTATTTTCCTCCAAATTCTCAGTTAGTTGTTACCAAGTAAAATAAATTAAATAACTTCTTTTATTGCAAGTAGAATTCCTGTGGCTCTACCGAGCATCCATTCTGTTACTTGTTACTTTTTCCCCTTTTTTCTCTAATATCTCTCCTGCTTGTTCTTTTACTAGCTAGTCTGGGAATTCATTTTTCAATAGATGGCACCCTGCATTGTATATTACAGCAAGTAAAACAGCTGGTATGTGATTACAAGTTGATAGGGAAGCCTGCAGCTTTTAAAAGTGCAGGAGAGTTAGTGGACAAGAGAGCATAGGGTTAGATAATTGATATTTGTGCAAAATAAGGAAATTACTTTAGTTTGAAGGTATCATTTTAGCATGTGAATTATCAGTACTATAGCTCTATGGGGAGATTTTAATATTAAATGTTACATTTTGAAAGGAAACTGGAAATAGAAAATAGTTTCAATATTTATAAGTCAGATCCAAATAGCATAGTAGTACTAAAGGACATTGATTAAAATGTTGCATCGTATCCAGAAATGTGACAGAAGCCTATATTACTTTAGAATCCATTAAATATACATCCTTATAAATTTAAGTAAATACAGATCATCTTTATTTGCCTCAAAAATGTTTTCATGCATTTTGTTTTGGATGTATTGAATTGATCTGTATTGCCTTTCCAATTATAGGGTCACAGATTTGATCTTAGCTGAGTTCAAATGCTGAAGTATCATCAAGTTGGATGAATGCAACTCCTTTTCATTGTATTCACATTGGCAAAACTTGGACATGTAGTTCTCTCCACTAGGAGTAGCTGTAGCAGTTGTGCTCTAGTTCAGACAGTGCCCAGTGCTTTTTTTACCACCTTGTCCTATAGGGACCAGTAACATACATCCAAGTCTTCTCTTAGGAGGCCTGCCTGAGCCCTGTCTGTAGCTACTCCTGGTGGAACTCCAACAGTGATGAATTGCTTACTGGATATTTTTTTTTGCTAGTGTTAATTATGTAGTAATATGACAAAGACCTATGTTAACTTATAAGATGGAAAAATCCCTAAAACAATGAACCTTTGGAAGCTGTTACTCTGTTTGTGGTAAATTTAATTCTTTCCAGCTGTATAGATATTAAATGGAAACCTCAGTGCTGTTTCCTTAAAAATACATGGCAGCATAGAGATTTTTGAAGGCCTAGGACAAAATCTGAAACAAACCTTCCTCCTCATTCCCCCCACTCCCCAGATTCTAAAAACAAGGGGAGGCTGCAGGAGAATGATTTCCACCCCATATATACTATGTAGCATTGGCTCCTGTACTGTAATGCTGGCTCTGGCTACCCACTTTGGGCATTGTGACCAGATACACAGGGTCACAGTGCCAAACCTGAGTGGCACTGCAACCTCATTTGTATGGTCACAATACCGCTCAGTTTGGGGGCCCCTGGCAAACAGCCTCTTTTCCTCCCCTCCCGTCTCCATCTTGGTGGCCCTAAAAGGATATAGTACCTCTTTTAAAACAATGATTGAAAGCTGTAGCAGATTAAAATAACATGCATCTTACTAGACCTAAGACCTTACTGAATCATAGTTAACGGTGTTTGTACGTATGCACACATTTACAACATTATGTATGATTCTGCAAATATTAATTATTCATGTACTGCTTTATTTAGTGGGAATACCAACTCTAGTGAGGTCACAATTCAGAAAACCATTTAAAATGTATAACTTTAAGCACAAAAATAGCCCCAGCTATTGCTTGAAGACAATTAAATAGATGCTTAAGATCCCAATTCAGCATAATGCTTAAGCATCTCCTTTTAATCAGTTCCTATTCAGAGAAGTACATGATTAAATCCCCAAGAAATCAGTGTTATTTAAACATTTTACTGTATTGATACCTAGTCCTGTTAGTAATTTGTAACAATAGAACCTTACTTTGTCCTGAACACATTTCATGAAATGTTACAAGAACCTTTTTTGCCTCTTTAAATACCATGCCTCTTTATATGGTTATAAAAATTGTCAGTTTATTCAAGGTGATGTCGCAAGTAACTAATTACAAATAAGAATCGGGAGAAATATTTATAGAATGTTTGTGTCAAAGATTTCATATGAAATTTACCTCAACTGCCCACTATCTACAATCAGTAGATTATATTGCAGAAGGAAGTGATATAACTATACTTAATAAACAATGAACAACAACTCCCTGACATGCTAAATGTTGTTTAGGAAAGGAATTGACTTCTAAAAGAAATTGCATAACCACTGGGAAAGCCAGATTGGTAGCACAGTTTGTTGCCACTAGAGAGGTAAGCACTGGCTTTTTAGCCTGGCAGAGTTTGGGAACATGAAAACTGAAGCTCTCTTATGGAGATTGACAGCAAGAGACTTCAAGGGAAACGGCTTGCCTTTCTACCCCCAAAATACTCTTCCCCTCTCTGTGCATAGGTGAGATTATAGCAAAAAGTCTTCTGCAAAAAAGACTGTAGGAATCTACCGTGTCCCTTCCTGCCACTTATGTGCTGCCATTCACTTTGGGTATGTCTAAGTGCTACCTCACATCTTCACAAGCCACCCATAATGGGTGCGCTGTTTCAGCATCGAAATAAGCTATGTACCTGATTTTGAGTTGAGTGCAGTGTAGACAGCCTTTGAGTTCACTTCATCTTATAATTTGATGCCAAGTAGGAAGAAGAAACAGACTCAGATACCTCAGTAGCCACACCAAGGCTTTGTGATGAAGAAATCAGTATTGACACGAAAGGATAAGGATTGGTTTAATTGTATTACTGTAATATTAGCAACAGATAATTCAAGAGATAAAATACAAGCTATCCTATACTGCCGGAGAGAATGTCTTCTGATTAGATTCAAAAGTAGATACATACCTTTAGGGGGAATGTAAAATAAAATCTGCCTCATGTCAGTTGTATTTAGTAAACATATGCTGCACTCTAATGTAATATGTATATTGCTTATTTTTTAGAGAGCTATAATATCTGTGCAGGAATGTTTATACAGTATCTCAGTACAGTACTTACAGGTGCCATGGTTTAGTTTTCCTATAATGAAATATTTAAAGAGCCCATAGAAACCTTAGTATTTATTACAGTGACAAAGGAAGCTTTAATTTATTATCATAAATGCTTGTCTAATACAAGAACATCAGATTTTAACTGTTTGCAGATATAAATGTTTAGTTTCTTCTTACTTCACATTTTAGCAAAGATAAAAAAATATTTCTTGATTTTAATGTAAAGAGAACCAGAGGTGCCATTTTGTTGTTAAGCTAAATCAAGTATATGAAAAATCTAACTTGCACAAAACAAAGGTGGGTAGTGTTTGTTTGTTAATTTTGAACTGTATTTCTTTAAATACCTTTTTTTTTTTCTTCTTCCAGCCCTTCTGGAAGCCATCTCACACTCAAGACAATAACATACTGGCACAAGATTATACAGACTCAGAACTGAATCAGTCTGGAATATGTGAATTCTGTCAAAAAGTTTTCCCACCATCTAGTACATCAAGAGGGGATTTTCTCAGGCATCTTAATTCACACTTTAAAAAACAATCAATGTATCCAGAAGCAAGCTGAATAAGTCTTTGTAGAGATACGGGATTGCACTTTTGTATACATTTTATTTGTAATTCAAATGCATATGTTAATTTCAGAATTAAGACTTTCTATGTTCATCATGACATAATTGAAATGTTTTCAGCTAAGTTCATTTCAATTTTTTAAAATTTAACATTGTAATTTTACTCATTTAAATTCCCCAATAGAAAAACGTAATTGTTTCACTTGAGTTTGCTATGCTGCAGTATGAGCTTTGGGCTTGATCCTACAAATCTTTTCTTGTGCAGGTTATCTTCACCTGAGTAGACCTAGGACTGCTTGCATGAATAAAGGTTTGTAGAACTGGGTCTTTAATTTGAGGAGAAAGTATGAGCAGTGCTATCAATTTTCCTCAGCACCCTAAGGTTTGCTTCTACTCCTACTGTTGTGAAATAGGTGCTGGAATAGACCTTAAGAACATTTGATGTGTTAATGAGGATTCTCCAAATTTGACTTAGGACAGGTTCAGTGTTGTATTTAAATTGTAGATAAGATTCTTGTAAAGTCACTAGAGCAGCCAAATAACAGGTATGTCATACACTTAGGATACTCTTATGTCTTTTTTTCCTTACATCTTTGGAAGAGATTAGTGTAAACAACAGTAAAACTGTTGACTAAACAAATTTGTCTCAAATACAGTGCAATACTCACTCTTTGGCTAAAATGAAGATAGGAATCGGTATGTATCTTGTGCAGAGATGCACAACTAAATAATTGTTAATGTACACTGTTAGCATTCGTAACTCATGGAAAATACTTATTCCTCGATGAGAGATGCTTTTGTATAGAGAGAAAATCAAATCAATCAGATGGCACTTCCCCTGAAACTACACATTCAAAATGTAGCATTTCTTGTGGTGTCTTATTGGATGTTACTCAAACTTTCTAAGGATTTAAAAAAAACACACACACACACCTGAATACAAGTCTTCAGACCAAGATACATTTTAAATGTTGATGTTTCTCTGGTGCATTTTATGGATGCTAGATCAGCTAGTTTGCATTTTTAAACCATTCAAGTGTAGTGATCTCTTCAAGGAGAGCCTTCTGCACTTCTGACTGGACACACTCTGTCCAGACCTCTGTAGTTATTAGCATTAATATATTTTTTTCTGTAGCTAATGGTAAGCAGGGCCTGAACTTCCCTTTTTTAAAGATTTATTGGATGATGGTAACCATTTTTCAAAGCTTAAGTATAAATCTTGTAGTAGTTGTAGAAGTGGATTTTTAAGTCAGCTGGAAAAGGCTGGCTCACTAAACATTTTTCTACAATTGTTTAGGTTTTAAGTGCCTGGTGTGTATGTGACTAGCTGTTGGCTGATGATGTACTGTAATAAACTGCAGTGCACAGTGCTTGTCTGTTAATGTGACCTAGGGTGCGTTTGTTACTCGAGTAGCATTAAACCCGGTTTCCTACATCGGGGTGTGGGTGAAGGGTCTGAGGCAGGCAGGTGGTTGGGGTAGTCAGGCGTGTGACCACGAGCAAGGGCGGTGCTTAGTGTAGCACCAAAGGGCCAGGGACTCGCGCTCCAAAATAGCCCGAGACACACCTGCCTTGTGCTCTGACCCGGGAAAGGCGAGACCCACAACTCACGTGGCTAAGAGCCGAGCAAATCGCGATTTACCTTTCTAATCCCTTCCACCTTGTTGGTACCTGCGTGCTGCCCTGCTCGGAGCTGAAGTGTCTGGACAGGGCCCAGCGCTCTCCTTTCTGCACAACGGGGTCAGACCTAGAAATGTCCCCTCACCTGGATCATAGAGGGGGGCGGGGAAGAAGCAGAAGAGGGGGGAGTCAACATCTGCCTGCCTATGCCCACAGGGCCCTGGCTGCGAAGAAGGTGGTCTGGCCAATGAAAATCCTGCCGGGAGGGGGGCAGGCCCTAAGCTGTGCTCGGAGCCCAGCAGGAGCCTTCAAGAATCTATTCCCAACAGCGCCCCAAAGCCCAGCCTGGCCAGCTGTGAGCCAAGGGGGGCGCGGTTCTGCTGCGGTGGGTGGTTGCGAACATCTGTTTACTGCGCTCAGCCCCACAGCGGGTTCCGCTGAAACGACCCCTCCCCACAGCTGAGGCCGACTGGAAAGTGCATTAAGAACCCATCAGTGGTAGGAGGAAGGAAGCCAGCTTGGGGAAGGAGCAGAGGGCCACGGTGTTGTGCTGTTTCTCTCCCGCACCCCTCTTCTCTAGCGCGAGTGGCGTTTAGTCCCCTCCAGCCCTGGCGCTATACAGGTTTACAAGCCTCGGTGCTGACTCACTTGCAGCGGGGCTGCAGGTGGCAGTGAACGCACGTGTTCAGAAGCGGCAGCCAGCGAACCCAAGTGGCCGTGCCTATGCCAAGAGCTTTCCCGGGGGCCGTTGGGTAGCTTTTGGTGTCTCATCCTAGCCTGGGGCTGGCGGCCCGGGAGAGCCCAGGTCGCTCCTCAGTCTCGCTGCTGCCTCGACAGCCGCATGTAGCTCCAGCAGTTCGCCTGTCCGTGCCCGTGAGAGGGGAGGAAAACTCGCCCGTGACAGATTCCACGAGTCCGCCGGGGCGTGGCTGCTGAGAGCTTCGGGATGTTGAGGTCTCTTCCCTCGCTGGAATCAGTTCCCTCTGCCCCATTCCACCGGGAGCTGTTCCCCTTCCCCCGCCATCTATGTCGGCTCAGCTGGGGAGTCTGCACCCACTTCCCCACTGATCAGGTAACAGAGGCAGAAATGTTGCTTTCTTCCCCACTCCTTTGAGTCGGGATGGCCCTCGCAGTATTCTCCCCCCACCCAGTGTA